GCTGACGTAAGGCTTCCTGCGCACTACGTGAAAGTTCAGGACGGTGCTGGCAACGCCTCGTACTGTATGAACTGTCCGGAACGACCTCGTAAAGAACATCACTCAGTCTTCGCAGTACATTATTGCGCACCGACATCACACAGTGCCCGGGCCTCTACCATTTTTCCTCCATCAAAGTTTGACTGCCACGGCTGCGATGGAACCCGCGACCTGCTGGCCAGTAGCTGAGCAACGTAACAGCTACGCCACCACCGGGCAGACAACATACGAAAGTTGATGGTGCAACCACTTGTCATTATTATAAGCAATAGATTGTTACAACCGATATTTTTATAAGTAGGTCCGACGATACAGAAAGTCAGAAACTGTCTGGTCGGACGTTTTGCAAACCAATCTCTAATTTTCTTACTTTGGTTGCCTGAAGAGTTCTTTTCATTTTTTCATTTCATGTTATTTTTATTTATTAAGGTCCCCACTAAAGGGATAAGTACCAAAATGAAAAAAACGAGTGAAAGCCTTTTATTTTTGCAGTGCAAATGATTCCCTTATAGGAGTCGTAAATGGGGGATAGGTTATGGCTGTGACTTGGTTACAGAGGGCGTTCCCTTCTGTACCTTCACGAAAAGAGAATGAAGATGAAAAATTGACGGTGCACGTACGCGGGCGCGCTCCATGTTCAGGGTTATCGGTGTGATTGGAAATGCGTGTAGAAAGGTCGAAGAATGCAAACCGAATCTTGCCTAATGAAGCAACTGAAGGAAAACCGAAAAACAATACTGCCACTTACTTCATGCCATAGTAAGCAACACACATTTGGTCGCGTCTTCAGGGAGTGCGTCGGCGTATCTTTACACGTTATTCGCTGAAAATTGCTGTGGCATCGTGCATGTGAGTCCGGGCACTGAAAGAGCAGCACGAAAACACCGTATTGTTGTCGTACAGCTAACATAGCTTGCCACTTTTTTACTGGTCTTTATAGGTGGGTTTGGCGTACCTTTACCTTTTGGAATGGCAAAGGAATCGCATACCTTACCTTCTGGCAGTACATGCACTTCGCCTATGACATTTACGCCAAGGTAGGTGGATCCACACAGATGCCTAAAATGTGAAATTAGAGTACGAACCAAATCAGTATGTTTTGCAGTGAAAGCTGTTAAGAGACCAAGACTCGGGTCGGACGCGGCGTCGTAGTTGTCCGCCGCCGCCGCCGCTGGTGTCCGTAACCAACCCGCGCAAAATGAGAAAAAAAGTACCAATGACTCAGTGGGATTCAAATCCGGGTCTGCTGGGTGCCAGCCCAGTATTCTACCACTGTCAAGTGGGTGCTTGGGACTTGTTGGCAATCTTGCCTTAGGCAGGCTTGATGCCGGGAAAGCAATCACGTTAATACGACTTATAAAGCGTTTTAAAACAGCGAAACAACGACTAGTCATAGATATGTGGGGTTTAATGTCCCAAAACCACCATATGATTATGAGAGACGCCGTAGTGGAGGGCTCCGGAAATTTCGACCACCTGGGGTTCTTTAACGTGCACCCAAATCTGAGCACACGGGCCTACAACATTTCCGCCTCCATCGGAAATGCAGCCGCCGCAGCCGGGATTCGAACCCGCGACCTGCGGGTCAGCAGCCGAGTACCTTAGCCACTAGACCACCACGGCGGGGCAACAACGACTAGTCGTCGAACAATACGAATAGCGTAACGAGTGGGTCGTCCAATGCTCCAACCCATTACCAAAGCTTGTTCTTGTTCACCTATTAACTGTGGCGCATACCCACTTCAGGCATAATTCCTCATCGTCGACAGCCACCACATGAACAATTCGCACAAAGTCCTTTGCAACAGTTTAGCAGATACCACTCTTCTCAGAAGAATGATAATAACAAATGCCGGCATGCTACCCCCCAAAAAATTATTAATGCTGTAGTGGGTATCAAGCAAGTGTGCTCTTTTAGTTTACACCGTGACTGTGCTGCGCCTTCCGCGCAGGCCTGGCGTTTTTCAAGCTCACCGTTTGTAAACAACGCTAATGTTTTTCTGAATTAAACTTGAACTTTTTTATCGAGAGCTCATGGTACGTCAACTCGATCTTGTAAACTTTATAAGGAGTAAAGGAGGAAGACGGCTTTTAAGGTTGCTATATTAGGGGAGTAACTAACTTAACACACTCATTCCTCTCTTTTAGAGATAACTGGGAAGGGACGAACTAATACTCCCTCTCTCGTAGTTACCCCTCAAAGGAGCAACAATTACTTTTTGCGCAAAAAAAATGATCCTCGTTCACTTAACCTTCATTTTGAAGTGTGCACAGACACGTGATTAGATGTACAATCGACGTGCCAAAATCACGTTAAGGAAAAAATTTAAGAAAACTTAGAGCAAACACAAGAGATTTGATCTCACTATTACCAAGTAAATTCGTTTTTGGTGCCCAAATCTATGCAATAATACCACTTTTGTACACAGTGTTGGTCACGCCTTCATTGCAGCCACTCAATGAGGTACTCCGCCGTGCTTATACGCGACATGGTCGTTTTTACGGGTAAGTAAGCGTGACAACGTTTTCAATAGTTTCCAGAGCTTCTATCACAGTTGCAAGTGCTCCTCTGTGTCAGCGTTTGAATTACGCTCGCCTCATCTTCGCTTGAGGAAGAGGCGATGCGTCCCAAATGTGAACTTTCAACCACACTCGCGTATTATTTAGTAAACTTTTATTGAATCTTAATGAAAGCTTCGCACTTATAAGAAGTCGGGATGAATTAAAAAAGAAAGAAGCTTTGACAGCGATATTAAGTTTCAGCATTGTATTTGACCTTAGAAGATGGGTACCAATGCATAGCCATTAGACAATCGGAAGAAAAAGCACACTGCCTGCCACGCAGTATGCGTCGAAAATTCGGACATCCTTCACTCTAAAAGAAAAAAGTCATTTTACTCTTGCTTGTGAGTTGTGACTTGCCATGTATAAGACTCCCTTTAAAAAGCAAGTTAACTCTTACGTGGATCATAAGACTCCCAAAAGAAAGTATAATAATATCCGAAGTAGGTTCAGTTGCTTTTTTAAAAAAGGTTTGTACATTATAAGCCAGCAGTGTCATAAAAGAGTCAGGTCACTGTATTTTTTTCAGTGCTGGAAGCTTTATTGGTGCACTATTGGCATCGCGCTGGGGCCGCACGCATGCAAGATTATGCATGTGCGCAAAATGTAAGAAACACCATGCACTAAGACGAAATGTTTGCGCAAGGGTTGGATTTGGCTACTGCTTTAATAGAAGCTTCTGTCACGATAGTTTTTAGGAGTGTAATAACGAAGTTGCTAGAAACCCCACGTTTTCATTTAGTTAAGAAAAAAAGGAAATTTCCAAGGTAGCAGTGATTCCGTATGTTCTCTGCATTTCACACAGGCGTAAAAGATGGTGGAGAACTATAGAGTATAAGTGGTGTTCGCCGCAGAAAACAAAACAAAATGTGCGTGTTCCAAGGTAAAAAAGAAGTTTGAAAGTGAGGAAGGAGCAAAAAAAAAAAGGAATGTAACATCCAGCATCTGCGGAAAAATCAGTTCGTAGAATGCACTAAAAGTGTGGTATACAACATCACTATGACGTATGTCCGTGTGAACGTGGGGTAGACTGTAAGTAAGATGCTGCAACACGTGACCACTGTCCTGACGAGACTAAGGGAACACTTGTTCAGCCTGAAAGGTCACCCGAGCATGCATTTGGCTATGTGTTGTTAGGAATGTGGGGGCGCACAGCTCATCCTTGCAGCACTAGAATTTTATTATAACTCCTGCACCAAACAGCGAGAGAAATTGTGGAAAGTTATAGGATTGAAAAACTATATATTGGTGCATCATATACTCTTCCATTGCTTTATTAGGCAAGGAAGCTTCACTTCTGTTACCATACCTTTAGTGACAATTTTTTTCTGGTTGCTTGCTAGATGTGTATCTGACGTAGTCTGTTGCTGTGAACGTGCTAATCCGAGGCATTATCATCACACGTGATTCTTGTGTGCAATAGTGACTTAATTGCACAGATCATGTTCGCTACTTGAGCAGATGCATTTTTGAAAAATAAGCCTGTCGGTAGAATGCGCTTGTTACGAACTTAGGTTCGTCCTTGTTAGTTTCGCGCAAGGTGGTTAAAAGATGAGTTCGTTGCAACTAGTGCGCCTTGCTCATATCCGTGAATGCCAACGAAAGCGAATGAATTCTATGATGCAATTAGGTACAGGTCTCTTACAAACAGTGACGTCACTTGCATGATGAAGCCATTCTACAAAATTTGCACTGGTGCCGTATATACTCACTGTATGATTACCATTATGTTTTACACGCCCCGTTCTTTTGTATTTCATGTAAGGAAAACTTAAGTTATTATCTATTTTCTGAAGTATACCGTAAACAAACAGCTTGTGTTTGATTTATTCTTTGCTATATTACTCACGAACAGCAACAGCAATAGCTTCGCCAATAATCGCAACTTCCTGTTACTTAGATGTAACGCGAACTATGACAAAAATGACATATTCCTTCACGGTCATTAAAATCCTAAAATATTTGCCCTACTCAATAAATCATTGTCATCGTTACATGCATTCAAACAAGAATTTAAAATTTTCATATTGTATCACTACGTTGACAAAAATAATAATTTATAATGTAAAAGCGTAAGTAATCAGAAATATAAAGCTGTGTTTTTTCTATGGCCTGCTTATTCTACTTGTATAACTGATTATTATGTACTTGTATCACATAAGCGTGTTTGCTATTATTTTGCTTATTTGTTGTAGTTTTTTGGTACTTCGACTGTTTCCTTCCACTAATGTTTTGTATTATTACATGCTGTTATATTTAATCATTGTTATTGTTAATGTTAACCAAAGCTCCCACTGCAATCGCCTACTTACTTTAACTGCGAAATTCGCATATCGAGTGAATAAACTGAATAAACTGAAAAAAAACAATAAGCAAAACATTCGATGATTTCTTACAGCTCCTACCAGGGCACGGTTCCAACTTTAGTGGTTGGCGACCCCGACATCTTGCGTGAGATCCGGGTGACGAAATTCAAAAACTTTTCGGACAAATCGGTAAGTGCATGGTGAGAGAAAAGTTGAATGCTGTTTTCCACTAAGAAAAAAATTTGTCATAACTAGAAAAAAAAACGTTTGGCAGATCCCGCGTACCGGGAATCGACGTAATGTGAAGCATGCGGAGTAATTCTTCTTATGGAACGATGTTGTAAAATGGCAATGTAAGAATGTACGCGCAGACTGTTTGGACCCGAAGTTTGGACCCACCTGCTACTACCAGTTTTTGAGTTGTTGGGACCTTGCTGTTGCCAGCCGAAAACTCAGGAAGAAAGCATCGCGTCACCATGAATACACTGATGAGGAAACTTTATACAGGTTTAGTCGCAATATTTACAGGCAAGCGTTTCCTTACATGACAAACATCTAAATAAAGACTTCGTCCTTCATCGTGGCGATCTCGTGTCTAAAGCTGTCACAGGGCCTGATTATAAGAAGTCACTCTTCCCCAGACCCGGAGATGAGGAAATGACTCCTAATTCTACTGTACAGTCAAGGGACACATGCCACTGCCGACGGTGCCACATACACTCACCCCGTTCAACATTACTGACTGGGACATGGTCACCACACGGCACCTGCGGCCCCAGGGTGTTCCTTTCTCGACTTCAGAAGGCCAGTTGGTGCTAGATCCATTCTCATGCCATCGGAAGCACCAAAAGGCCCACATCTCACCACAATCAGCATACTAGTTGTCATCCACGCTGACCCCACTCGCTCTTCAAGGAGGGTGTCGCGACCGGAAATCATTGCGGTCGTCTCCTTGTACACCTTGCGGCGTCAGACTGCATGAAGCCTCCCTTCCTGGCTAGGAATTAAACCCCTACAGTGAAATTGGCCAAACTTTCACAAACTGCAGTCTTTCAAAACCAATGGGCGAATGAATGGTCCAACAGGGAGTAAACGCGTGGCAGTGCATGTCGTACGAAACTCCCGGCAGGGAGAGGACCAACGGGGAGGGTAAGTGCGTTCCGATCGCCTTCTGCTGATGCTGCACTGCACTGCTCGGCCCGGTCGGTTATGACGAAAACGAGTTATATCACCTGTGCGTCACAGTGAAATAGAAGCACTATTGAACGAATACAAGCTCCTATGAGAGGCAAGTTCAACCCGCGTTGCCGCGCACAGCAAGTGCGATCGCGTTTCCACCAAGACGGCGCAGACGTGCCGAAAACAAGTGAAAGCCCCCAAGCGAGGTCACTGCAGATAACTCGCTTCAATGTGCTGAATTAGTTAGAACTACGAATAACTCTGACAGCGCTAAGAAAAGTAAGCTGCTCATCAGCGGTCGTGAACTCGCACAGTCACTGGCCACAACTTCAAAGTGATATATGTCCGCACGTCATCGGCCTTGCCGGCCAGTGGTGTGACTGCATGGCTGGCACACGTGAAGGAAACGTCACATACAATTTCTTTCACAGAAAACGATGTCTCCTGCATTGAATGAGGTGTAAAGGTTTGTTTCTCAACCAATGCGGCACTCGTTGGCAAGCGTCATGCGTGTAGACGAGCGCGGACACGAATATAATTCGTGCGGACTGAGGTGTACAGCGAACGACTTACGAGCACGGTCAAAGAACCGTCCTTGCGAGTGGTCTCGCCGCTGTATGTATCTACATCACTCCGTAATGCGCCGCGAACGGTGCCCGCCTGCCTATTTTATATTTGTGTCTGATAAACTACGACGAAAAGTTCACAGGGGACGCAGGTTGTGATCGCCAGAAATCGTTTAGCCGCGTCGCGTACTCCTTTTGTGAGCCTAGCGACGCTGTCAGCAAGCCGACATAGTTGCATCGGTGGGGTACCTGACAACTTCGCCGGCGTTTCTGATGAAGCGCCACTGAAATGTTTGAACTAGCGGACTCATGCACCAGCACTGTGAACGCTGGTTTGGTCGACAAGGTCGAATGCTAGCTGATAATTTGTATTCTCTGACTGGAGAGATATTGATTAGATGGACTCATATTTGAAGATCGGTGCGCTTAAGTTGAAGACCATATAAATGGATTCATAATTAAAAATCGGTGCGCTTAAGCGCTACAAATCAGCCCACTTAAATTTTCACGTACTACGCTGTCAATATTGTTTTTTACGCTGAGCAGAAGTCTCTAACCAGCACTACATGGGAGGTGAAGGTACTGTGAATACATATATCCGATGGCTGATTCACTGCAGTGTAGCGCGAGCTGTCCATGTTCGCGGTGTTTCAGTATTTTATCAATTTATACTTGTAAAAAGCTGGTGCGGAGACCGTCGTTCATGCGACGGCCTCAATAGTAGAGTACCTAGAACTCTAAATCGTTAACCACTTTTTTAAACACACAGTATGTATGTATATGTGTGTGTGTTGCAGGCCCAATATACTGCGTTCTTCATTGCTGATCAAGTTAGAATAACCTTAAAATACACTCCACAAGTGCAGGGTCACAATTTTTTTCATTCACCCTGACAGTTCCACTGGTAGTCCCAATGGGGCATTCTAAGAGGGCCTACTTTTAATCCAAGTGGAGTATGTGCTATGGGGCAGAAGTTCAAACCTTGCATTTACTCTCGCAGTTATTGCAAGTTGATTCAAAATCAGTCGCAGCCAATTTAGTCCCCTAATGGACCAACGCCACACCCCACTTTTGACATTTTCAGCTTGAAGTGGTCGGCACTGTATACGGTGACTTGTTCAAAACAGGAAACATCCCTTTATCGTTGGCTAAAGCGCCAATCATAGTAGCTCTTCCACCGGGGGGAGACACGACCGAAGGGGTGGGTTTACGTTAGGGGCGTAGTGATTTTTAAATAAGAAAAACGAAGAGTGAGCCCCGCTACTGTCTGCATGAGTGCGACACCTGAGCAGTAGCTCAAAAGGGAAGAGATAAGGAGGAATTAGAAGAGATAGAGAGAGAAGTAAAGTTTGAGAGAAAACTAAAGGATCGGGAGACGGTTAGAGAAGTCCGTGGACGGGGCCCCGATCGGCGAGTGGTCTTCAAAAAGAAGACACCGTGGACGAGACAGCTGTCAGCCACGTAAGCCGCTTAGCATGTCGACCTGAAGGTGACTAGCTGCACAAGTCACCGAAGCGTGGACATTAGTTGGCGTCCTCCAGGTCACTGTCGATTATGTCACTTCACAAGCGAAATGTACGCGATGTTTATCACGCCACAGTAAGTGGCGATATCGGCAAATGCGGGCTCCGCTCCCTGCATCGACTCACCTTGGCCGCGGTGATCGGAGCACCGACAGAAATGACACCACCAGTGGAGTGACGACACACGCCTCCCGAGCTGTCATTGGCTGTGGAGTTGCGTTACTCCGACGCGGCGACGAAAATATCCACCTGTTACGATGCACGCCAGATATGCGATGCGGCGGTGCGACACCATGAAACGTCGCGAAAGGAGCTGTTATGCCTGCGAGTCCACAACGAACGTCCATGCCTCTGAAAAAGGCAATCTGTGTGATTGAAGGCCAGCACGCGAGCCCACCTGACGCGAAGAACTCAACGGCGTTATCACGCGGTGGTGCCTTTCTGTCGCGCACGCACAGCGAGCCCGTCGAAGCAATCGGCGCCTTCCTGTCTGGCGAGTCAGACGCAATGCCTGGCGACGTCACTCGTCCTTGGGTGTAGCCACGTGCAGCGCAGCGGCTCCATATTCGATGAGAATGACGCGGCCCAGCGGTGACCCCATTGGAGGATTCTGACCTCACGGCCAGCAGAGTTTCTGGTTGGACATTCGGTTACTCAAACAATCCTCCCGGTGCATATAAAAAAAGGCCTGCGGCGCGTCGCGAGCAGTAGACCTATGTGTCATAAGAGAGAGCTCGGCTGTCCGAGTCTCTAAGCTGTCTGCGCCAGTGCCGAATTTGTAACGCCTCTGTATATAAGCTGTACATAAACCTTGTTGAACTCACCGTGTCTCGTCCGCTCGTCTATCAGCTCTGCGCAGAAGCAGTCGCGAGCTGAGAAACCTACGCTACCAAACGGCTGGTGACCTTCCCGGCGGAGTTCGAAGCAGTGGCGCCTTCGGGACTGTGTTGGCGTCGCCGTCTTTCGTAACAGTGGTTGGCAGCTGCGGGATCGGCCGGCGTCAGCGACATTGTTGCGGTGAGTGCCTGATGTTTTCCCCTCAGCTCACCAGACTACTCTAGCTCAGGTTGTAGTAGTTTAGAGAAGGGCTATGTGAAGCATTAGAGTGAGCTTTGATCGTTTCAAGCAAAGTCAGAGCGCTTTGAAACCAAAGTTAATGCGGAGGGTGTAAACACGGCAGTGTTAAAATAGCTTGTGTGTCTTTCTAGTAGACTTGTAGTGGGTACGGCAAGTAGATTCTTAACAGAGGCAATCAGCAAGAGGCTAGTGTGAACGATGGATAACCTTAAAGTGAAGGAACTCATCGAAATTTGTGAGGAACTCGGCATTACTTTGGGTCGTGCGAAACGAGAGCAAGCGATCCTTGAGATCATGAAGGATGAAGGAGTGTCGGCTGAGGAAGTCGATGAGGCCTGGGCGGATATCAAAGCACGCCGCGAGGAGGCCGAAAGGCTAGAAGCTCGCGAACGTGAAGAAGCTGAAAGGCGAGAAGTTCGCGAACGTGAAGAAGCTGAAAGGCGCGAACGTCACGAGCGTGAGGAGGCCGAGAGACAGGAGCGCCTCGAGTTGAAACGAATAGAATTGGCAATCCTACAGTGTTCGCAGGCGCCTAGCGTAGCTTCTCCGACCGTTCAGGTCAGTGGTTATAGAATTCGGGACCATCGGCCACCATTCGTAGTGGGCGAGGACATGGCGAAGTATCTCGTCAAGTTTGAACACGTCTGTGAGCGAAATGCTTTAGAGCGGTCTCTTTGGGCGCAGAACCTGTTAGCTCTTCTTCCCGGCAAAGTGTCCGACGCGATAGCTAGCTTGTCGAGAGAAACGTTTGAGAGCTATGACGAGGTTAAAAAAGTGCTCTTGAGACGTTATAAGTTGTCACCCGAGGCTTTCAGGCAAAGGTTCCGGTATGCTAAAAAGGGGAATGACTCACACGATGACTTCACGTTTCATCTTAAAGCCGATTTAATTGAATGGCTCAAAGGCGAAGGTGTTTATGACGATCGCGATAAAGTGGTAGAATACATTGCAGTGGAGCAATTCTACCGCTGCATCGTGGAGGATGTCAAGCTTTGGCTGCAGGACAAACTTGGTTAAGTACAGATAAACAAGGGAGCAGAGTTAGCTGAGCAGTATTATACTCGCCGAAAGTTGCATAACAGGACAGTGCGCGTTGAAAAGGATGAAAAGAAGGAGGGCTTTTCAAAGAAACCAGATCAACGGAAACCCGCTCCACACCGTAATTTCAAGGACCCGTCTCTTACGAAGGACACCGTAGGGGAAGGGCAAACGGAAACGGAGACATCGAGTGAGGTTCCTAAACAACGCACTGATACCACACGGGCGTTTGAATCACGGAAGCCGCTAATCTGTTACAACTGCGAAAAGGAAGGGTATATTGTGATAAACTGTAAGCAAAAGTTTGCTTTTGCAACAATCCGAGAATCGGAAAAGAACATGCGGTTGTTAGAGCCGTATCTCCAAGAAATTAGGGTGAATGGGAAAACGTGTCGAGCACTTCGAGACTCAGCGGCAACCATGGACGTTGTCCATCCTTCATTGGTGTCTCCGGATGACTTTACAGGAGAATGCGCGTGGATCAGGCAAGTCGCCGAGGAACAAGCTTGCTTACCAATCGCTACGGTTGTTATTGAAGACCCGTTCGGTAAGCTTCGCACCGAAGCGGGTGTCTGCCGCGCTTCCCGATCGTTTTCCTTATATTTTCTCTAACAACTCAGAGCACCTTTTCAAAGAGCAGGGTAAGTCGTTCTTCTCCAACTTAGCGTACATGGCCCTCACGCGATCGCAAGCACGGAAGCTTTCGCAGGAGTTTGATCTTGTTCAATGAGGTGAACTATCAAGTGACCTTGGCGGCGAATCGACGGATCCTCAGAGAGGAAATTCTCCATGTGAGTCATGTGAGCAGTCACTTGAGCGGCCCGTCGCCGAAGCGACTGGCGCAGTTTCCGTCGCAGGGGAGACGACATGCCGGCATTGAGTCAGAGTAAGAGGGGTGCAATGCTTTCGCCTGTAGCGGAAAGTTGGTGTAAGCTGTCGAGGGTTGATCGAGAAACGCTCATTCGAGAGCAGCGTGAGGACCTCTCGATTAAAGCACTAATGGAAAGCGTAAACTTGGGAAGAAAGAAAAAGAATGTTTCTTTTCATGAGAAAGCAGGCCTCCTGTGTCGGAGCTACACAAATGCGCAGGGTCGCAAGTATGAGCAGCTCTTGGTGCCACAAAAGTATCGTCGCCAACTATTGGAACTGGCGCATGAAAACGCGTGGGCAGGGAATCTCGGCATAAAAAAGACCAAGGCTAGAGTTTCACTTGAGTTTTATTGGCCGAAATGCTGGAAGGATATCGAAGACTTTGTACGCTCATGCGACACTTGTCAGAGAGCGGGGAAATCCGCGGACAAGTGGAGGGCACCCATGAAGCTTTCTGATACCAATTACGAAGTGAAATTAGGAAGGCGGCCGAGCAAAATTTACGACAGTAACTTGATGAAACCATACGTTCAACGTCAAGCGGACGTAAATCTGCTGTTGAATGCTTCAGAGGAAGAGGGAGCAGAAATTTTGAGTTCTAGGGATGTAATCGAAAGGGATCGGAGGTAATCTTGGAGCTGTTGAACCTAGAGCCTAGCTTAAATGAAGTCCAGAAGGAGGACCTGAGAAGGATTGTTTTCGAGTTTGGATACGTGTTTTCGGACCGTCCCGGAAACATGACGGTTATTGAACATGATATCGAGCTAACCGGTGAGGAGCCAATCCGTAGCAAGCCGTATCGTTGTTCCGCTGTGCAACGTCGCAAGCATGAGCCGCTCTTGGTACCGCATAGGTATCGTCGCCTAAAATTGGCCGGTTACTGAGATGAAGCATGATGCTCCAACAGCACAACTTTGACGTTCGCTACAAAAAAAAAGGGGGAGGGGGAATGCTAAACGCTAATGCAGACGCATTGAGCCGTGCGTTTAGTTAGTAGCTTCTCCACCTTTCGGTTTCTCGCTGGCGATTCGGGGCAAAATTTTGTCCTCATCACGGCCTTATGAGCGCTCTCATCCAGAATGAGCTCAAGGAGCCAACTTTATGTTCTATTCTATTTCATTACGTTATTGTACGTGTAAAAATTTGAGTTCTCATTTTAAGAGTCTTGTGTCCCACATATGCCTTTTGGTGTAGAGGGAACGACATTCCGATAGACACGTAGCTGGGTAAATAGTGTAATATACTTTGTCTGGTGTTCTGTCGGGTGACTGAGGGTACTTGCTTGTGTCGTGTGTTGTCTGTTGTCGAACCGTTCTTGACAAGTTGCAGAACCATCGGCAAGTGCTGAGACCAAAGATTGGCAGAAGAGATGAGCGAGGCTCGTCGACAAGTTGTGGCGACCAGCCAGTGGAGCTGGGATCCGTCCTCAGAATGGGGTGTGTTGTCGGAACAGAGTCTGGAGCTGCATTTTCCCCATGGCCCTGGAGGCAAACCTGGAGAAACCTCACGAACGAGCGCACCTGACATCCGAGCCACGTGGAAGCAGCTCGTCTTTCCAGCGCATTGTATGGCGGCGGGGGTGCTAGTACGCCTGCGAGTTCACAACGAACGTCCATGCCTCTGAAAAAGCAATCTGTGTCAAGGCCAGCACGCGAGCCCGCCTAACGCAAACAACTCAACGGCGTCATCACGCGGCGGTGCCTTTCTGTCGCGCACGCAGAGCGAGCCCGTCGAAGCAATCGGCGCCTTCCTGTCTGGCGAGTCTGACGCAATGCGTGGCGACGTCACTCGTCCTTGGGTGCAGCCACGTGCAGCGCAGCGACTCCGGATTCGATGAGAATGACGCGGCCCAGCGGTGACACCATCGGAGGATTCTGACCTCACGGCCAGCGGCGCTTCTGTTTGGACATTTGGTTACTCAAAGAATCCTCCCGGTGCTTATAAAAAAATCCCTGCGGCGCGTCGCGAGCATTAGACCTATGTGTTAGACAGGAGAGCTCGGCTCTTCGTGTCTCTAAGCTGTCGGCCCCAGTGCCGAATTTGTAACGCCTCTCTATGTATGCTGTACATAAACATTGTTTAACTCACCGTCGCCTTGTGCGCTCGTCTGTCAGCTCTGCGCAGAAGCAGTCGCGAGCTGAGAAACCTATGCTACCAAACGGCTGGTGACCGTGTCGGCGGAGATCGGAGCAGTGGCGCCTTCAGGACCGTGTTGGCGTCGCCGTCTTTCGTAACAGTGAGAGCAGCGGTGGGATTTCGTGGCGCCCTTCGTAACGTCGTCGGAGGCACGCTTCGTAACAGAGCCCATCCGACTTCCCCATCGCTGTGTCGCACGCCGCATCACATGCAAAATCGCACCATCTTTTTCGGGTTTTACCCCGACCACGCTGCGGGCCACTCCCGTGACGAAACATGCAGGGAGTACCTGCTAGCGGCATCATGACGCCGTGGATGCCCGAAGCTGACAGTGATGATGCGTGTTTCTGATGACAGAATTAAAGTCCGTACTATCCTAAGAACAATTGCGACTTGAGTTCCTTGGATGTGTTGGGGCGGTCTCTCCTCATGCGGCCTAATGTGCACACACACACACAGTCCGGGCAGTCAGGAGATATATCTGTATAAATTGAAACGTCGTCTAAGTAGGGGTATAAACCCATGTCTTAGCGTGATTGGTTGCCCTCTGGTAAAATGCGAATGGAGAGGAGGAAAGACTCCAGGACGCATACGATAATGTGAAATGCCTTCATTGTAGTAGCGAGAACGTCACGCGACCCTCCGTCGGCAGCACCCTCATCCAAAGGATCGGCCCTGGGTGGGGCAGAGTGGTCCAACGAACCAGGGCCATGAAGTCCTGCGATGAAGGCTAGCCCTAGCGCCGAGGCGTGGGCCAATTCGTAGAAGTTAATGATGCCGCTGATGGTGGAGCCAGTATGGGCCGGGAACCTAATAATCTCGTGCGAACTAATGTGTGGAGTAATGGTCAGAATCCTAGCAACAAGCAGGGAGACCCTGCCAGTAGCAGGGGCTCTAACCAACGAATGTGAGTCGGAATAAATATGACAACCTGAGCGGTCCAAAAGCCTCATTTCATGAACGTATAAGATAGGACACGATTGTTCATTTTAAATGTAACTTCCATGAATTACCCATTTTGATAGTAACGTAAAGGAAGAAAGCTACAGATATGACATGCTCAGCTAGGAATGCAAAAATAGTTGAAGATTTTGATTATATGTGCATGAACCTCCTTTATTCACTGCAGCTATCTCAGACAGCGGGAAGTGATGTCTGGAGGAAGTCTATTCTGAGCCTTTCTGGTGATGAATGGAAGAAAGCGCGAGCAATCTTCACGCCCGCCCTTAGCCCAGCAAGGTTGAAGACGGTACGTACACATGGAGCGCTAAAATTTTGTGTGTGGTAGAGCAGCGCTTCGTCATTCCTTCAGTCTTGTGTTTCGATATACTCTGCATGCTGTGGAAAGTAGGCCATCTGAAGGAGGTCATCGTTTCGACCAGCAAATAGCTCAAAATGACGTTCGCCTTTTCGGCGTTCTTCGTACTAATAAAATTCAGCAGATGCCACGTACCATGAGAATTCTTGAGATGCGAAGTTTGCATCACGAAGATTGCTATGTGGTACTTTTCAAAAGGAGCACAATGTTACGAGGCGTACGAATGTAGCACTCAGTAACAGTGTAACTTCTTGGAATGGTTGATATTGCATTCTTAAGGTAAAACCCCCCTCTTTTGTGCAAGAAACGTTTCAGCAAACATTTAAATAGGGCAGAGCACACACTATGCTCTGTCCTCTTTCATTTTTTTTGCTGAAACGTTTCGCGCACACACACACACACACACACACGCACAGACACACACACACACACACACACACACACACACACACACACACACACACACACACACACACACACACACACACACACACACACACACACACACACACACACACACACACACACACACACACACACACACACACACACACACACACACACACACACACACACACACACACACACAAAGCAGGGGCTGGGGGGTTCTTTCACTGCACTCAGAAAAATACACGCAGACATTTTATGAGCTTTCACGTATCTACAGAACAAGCACCTACTTGCCGTATACATACGCGACCAAATAGCTAATAATGAACAAAATTCACAAACATTTTCTTAGTATATGCGAGTTTCGTTTTTCTCTATTGATCGTTCTGTTTGTCTTGAAACATGACCAGCTCTGGATCTTTAAGTCATTTGGTCTTACGAAGAAGTCTTGCGTAAGACGTTCTTGAGAGTGTGTGGCCATTCTTACAGTTTCATAACGCGCTTTTGCGTGGCACACAATGACAACACCCTCATTTTATGCAACGCTGATTTAATTTCACATACGCCTTGGTCAATCCAAATAACAGATTTTTGCCAAGATAAAACCCATTGCTGCAAGGATGGCATCGCGAGTCGTGGATGCGGCTGTGAAAAAGAAGCCAGTGAACTTATGCGGGTGAGTTTTTTTTCAGATTTTTTATTTTCAGACAAACAATCGTCGCTTTGCTGCATGTGCCTATTACACAAGGGAAGTGATTTTGTGGACTCGACAAGTTACTTTCCTGGTGATTATATGCAAAGCAAACGAGCAGTTCTTTGGAATACATGTGCAATAACTGGATCATGCATAGAGAAGCTGACTTGTATATCACCATAAAAAAGAATATAATAGTGAACAGTTACCGATAGTAACAGCTCCTGACATTATGCAGCAATCATAACTATGTTCAGTGCTGCGTGGCCTTTTGCCACGCAGCACAGTGCTTGTACGGTTGCACAAGCACTGTGAATTCGTGGCTTACTGTCATGCATTTTTTTTTTCAAATTCGTTAAGCATAGTCCACACTATGTTTCAAGGTACTACTCTTAGGAACCCGCTCCTGCATCTATAAGAGACGTCGTTGCCGTTGCCGTCCCCATTTGCGGCATCACCACGTGAACGAATACGTTCCGCAGATATCACGCACACTCAACTGCAGCTAAAGCAGGTGCGAGTGTCAAACAAAAACGAATAATTGAAAATGAGATATACAAAAGAGAGAAAGAAACGGAGAAGTAGTAGAAAGGCACAAAATTGATGAAAAGAGAAAATGAGAGAAAAAGAAGTAGAGGTAGACAGAAAGATCTTAAATGAACACAAAAGAAAGATACGTTACATTGATACAGCTGTGGATAGTCAAAACCTTAAAGGGGCCCTGGAACACTTTCTCAAGTAGCCATTGAATGAATACACTGTATTAGCTCCTTGCCTCACGAATTCACTGCTAAAAGAATGTTTAAGAATGCTTCCAGCCCGAGCGGAGTCACAAAAATTTGTCGCACACCGTAATCGCATTCTCTCTCCTCTCGTCTCAACGGAAGTGATGAAAGCTAAACAGGAAGGGATGGCACGGGCAAAGAAAATACGTCACGCGCGCCTCATGACATCTAGCACTTCCACTTGTTTTTTCAAATACGTGGCTTTTTCAGTGCCATTGCGCGCGCATGCGTAAACAAGTCGTGGCCCGCCGTGGCAATCCCTGTAACGACTGAGCGCGCCGTGCTTGAAACAGCCTATGGCTGACGGAACGGCTCTTTCGAGGGATTTTTCGTTTGAGCTTGTGCCATCACTTGTCGAGAGAAGGGAAAGCGTTGGTTAGCTGAAAAGAATAATTTATCGTGAATTCCAGGATGCGTGATGCGCTATAATAATTGGCTCGCGTTTGGATCAGAGCCCATATATGTATGCGCATCAATTTTTCTCTTATTTTGTCTCTCTCTTTTTTCTGACTCTCAATTCCTCACCCCTGTACAGTATATCAAACCAGTTCTTCTACTAGGTTAACCTCCTTGCCTCTCTCGTTTATTTCTCTCTCTCCCTCTTTCTCTCGCGCGCGCTTTTGGCTTTTGTGTTTCGGGAGCCTCTACTACCGATCGGCAGCGGTTCTGACCATGCTCAAGTAGTGTTTTAGGGCCTCTTAAAATAGGGTTTGTGTTGTGCGAAGATGAAATAGCGCTGAGGATGCGCACTGGGAAATCTCTGTAGCTTTTTTACTGCAAAAGCTGTTATTGGATCACAATGACTGTGGCAGTGGGGTCACTATCACCAGTTGCACCCGCTATTCCTTCCTGCCACCCACTTACGACCTAGACGTTGGTAAGCAGCAACTCTGTGCTATTTGTCATGACTCTGGGAATAGTGACGATTTTTGAGGCACTTATATGAGAGCGAACTCTCCTTTGAAATCACAGCTAGAGCCGATTTTGGTGCCTTAGTTATACGCCTCTGGCTACGCTGGTGTCCGTAACAGCTATCGCGAGAAATAATAAAAAAATTGTAAATAGAAAGATAATTTGGGAAGTGATTGATCAAACACGGGCCTTCTGCGTGGTAGCCAAGTATTCTACTATATAGCCACGCTGGCATTCGAAACACTGTCCTTCGCGAAAATACCCTATACAGGTGAGATGTCATAAACGGAAAGTCGTGAAAACGAAGCAGCAAGTGTCCTTGACCGAGCGGAGAGACGAAGAAGACACAATCTTCTCGTGTGATTGATAAGCCGTATTCGTTTGTGGCTCTCTGTCGGCTTGTCGATCCCGCATCGTCACAATATTAATATAGTGTCGTAAGTAGTGTAAGATAACAACTAGGCGTAACACAGCGTAAATTGCGCTATAAGTGGGTCATTGAATGCTTAGAAATCATTATGAAAGACCGAGCCCGAACTTTTTTGCATCATCAGCCACAGTACAAGTGCACATAATGACATACTTATATGTAGCCGGTACCTCTCTTACCCGGGCAGAAATGCGTAATGGCGTAATGGGTGTTTTCCTCTGTTTCATGAAAATTACGGTGGTATTCTGAGCAGTGGTTACGTTGTATGTGTACTTGTATTAATTGCGGGATATAGTCTACAACGGGGTCCTGAAAGTACGCTCTCCTAGCTTTCTCTGTGACTGTGGTGCGTGTCTGGCGCTGGCGTGGCGATTTTTTTCACTGCCTTAAACTCGTACCAAGTTAATTTTAGGAAATTCGCAGCATATTTATTTCACGACGAAACTCTTGCCGATTCGTATTGTGGGGCTCGTTGTGGGAAGCACACTGATTTGAACATGACAGTTTTAGCTATTTAGCACCCCATTGAACAAAACTTTATCAGCCTCAAAAATGTAAATGAAGGAAGAAGCGAGGTTGTACACGTAAGCACTCTTCCAACTAAAATTTATTTCGTTGAACCATTTATAAGTAAAGGAACGCAGGCAGATCAGCACTAATGCACACCTGCACAATAGGCCCTGATAGCAATGCGAGGGAGAACCTGCCATTTTTTTTTTTGAAGTCGTAGGACCTTCGTTTACAGGCTAGCCAACAACACGTCTCTGGACATCACAGCTGCCCTAACTACAGTGTCGACATGGACAGCGAGATTGACCGAGACCATCCTCTCATGAAATGTCTTGATGCTATCTACATGGTTCGTGGAGGCTGGAGAGTAGTGATGATGTGTGAGTAATTGCGTTTGCTTTACACTATGACACATTCGTATTCGCACTAGTGGATTAGCATCCACCCAACTACGGGCAACCCGAAACAGATTTTCAGGCATTTTCTTTTCGTATACATCTTATAGAATGCGCACTGGCTAAGGCTGGCTACGTCAAGTCGATGGTTTGACGAAAAACTATCTAGTTGAAAAGAAGCACGAAGAAGAAATAATTGGTGGTGGCCATTTTCCTAGTAAACTGACCCCGCAAAGCTGGCTCACGTCCGTTTTCATTTTGGTTGGACAGCTTTTCACTTCCCTAGTTCTTCATATTTCTCCCAAACTACACACAAATGTCTGTATGAGAAAGTAATACAAGGACAGCACTTCAAGACACAATGTTTAAGTTTTGCGTTTGTAGTCTTGTTATTACTTATGTTCGCGAAAAACAGAAAACAAACAGAATTCGGCCTCGTACTGTACGAGCACTGTATTTTGAATCGTCAAATAGACGATTTATTAAAGTAGAAAATTCATCTCTAATTCCTTTACAGATCTCATGCCGACGTTGTATAAGGCTCTGCAACCCGATTTCCCTCCGAAGTCAAGCACCGATGTATTCAAGGCATTCGTGTCTCACCTAATTGAAGAGAGGAAAGCGAAAAACATGGTAACGTTGAAAAATAATGAAATAATTTTACTAAAGTGCGTCACATTTGGTGCACATTCGCCTTACCTTTAGTAGTTAGGAACAAGAAATGTTTGCAAACAGTTCATGAACTATGCATCATGAAGCTTATATAGCGAGAGGATATATAGGTGCGAACTTTTTCATGTTTTCAAGGAGCGCACTTTAAAGTAGGTACAATGGCAGCAATTAGAGAAGACCATTCCTATTTAACGTATAAGCAAGTTATAAACAAGTCCGTGCAAAGATACCTAATACACAACTAATGAGAGCCAATGCCTATGTTCAGGTTAGTAAACTACGGTCTGAGAACTCTGATACCACAATTTTCACTATCACGAGTTCGTTATTAGCAGAGAAAGTGAATATTGAAACATCATTTTTAAATTCTGATCTGATATTTCCACCCGCAATGTCAGAAACTTCAAAATGTATTTTTTCAAAGTTCGCGACATTAGAACAATGATAATTTCCGAAACATCGTATGCAAGATCCATGGCAACCAAAAATGACAATGTACTTCATTTTTTATCAATTAGAAGCTACGCTAGACCCAGTAGATGCTTTCAAAATCTGTGACGTCATGGTGTTTGGTGCGAGAGTCTCAAGGTGGCATTTCCACCCGTATTTTCTTTTTGAGCCTTTTCTCGCTTACTAAGCGTAGTGTCGTGTTAAGAGTTTTGGGGATTGCGAAATCGTACTTTACCAATACGGGAAAAATATTTTTTTTTCTTAGGTATGTCTTTAACAGTCTCATGGCGAAACATTTCTGAAAGCTATAAACAGACGCTGCAAGTAATCATGTTACTGTTAGAGACATACGATTATTGTTAGTAACATAGGCTATGCGCATAGTGGCAGCTGCAGGGTTTTGTGCCGTTAGCTTGAATAGAGAACTCAAGAAGGAGAAAGCCAGGGAGGTTAGTCAGACGAGCGTATGGTTTTGCTACCGTGAAGTAGGGATAAAGGATTGGGAAGAGAAATGTAAGGACAGTGAGAAAGAACGAACACTGCAGTATTTGTGGTTGGTGCAGGTGGTTCGTTTCAAGCATAAGACCTGCACTTTGCATTTTTCTTTGCATGAGTGCGCTAGTGGGATACATGACTTCTAAGGATGCAGAAGGCAGAGCTGGAGAGAATAAAAATTTCACCATCTCCCACTAAAGGCAACCATGTGGGTATTCAAAGCAGCGCTGGTGTTCACTTCAGTTTTGATTTGTATGTTTCCGTGCATGTTTCATTTGTGGGCAGAACTTGTGTATATGTTGTTCAGCCCTTACCACCAATCCCATTGAACACACAGCGCTGCTAAAAGTGTGCAACTGGGCGAACATGCACAGCCTTATATTCGCAACTTCAGAAAACACTTCGGGGGCGTGATACACTAGTGCAAAAATGGAGATGGCTGCGCCTAACAGTGTCAACAGGGCACTATCGCTTGGCGCTGTGCTGAAGTTTTTTTATTGTAGCGTCGGATTGCGTTGCATCGTCGAAGGCGAAAGGGTGCTGGCCGTGCACCACCTCATTCTGATCGGCATAAAGGATTTCACTCACAAAACAGCAGAAATAGTGGCGCTGTGCGCGAATATATTGAGCCTCTTCGGTGAACCTCGTCAGATTTCATTGACGTTGAAGAACCTGCCTAGCAAGCCTCAGGTTAAAGAAGGAAACTGCTAGCGGAACTCTCGAAAAGGAGCTAGCACTTTTGCGTTGCGTTGCTACACTGCTACACGCAAGGCTTTACCAGTTTTGGAGACAACTACGCTGCGACTCGTGCTACGGACTTCATGTATCACATTGAGTTCCATTGTCCCGTAAAAAGCTGAATACGCATGCCGTGGACTAGATTGCAGACCGGAGCTATGCCAGGGCCAGCGTATCTTGAGATAAGGCAAATCTTAATGTAGATTGCAATAGTGGTGCTCCTTTCTTTCCACTCGCTGACCCATACGTTACTACGTTTCTAATGAATAAGGGTATGTGCTTCCGAACAGTTGCTTGTTCGTGTTGACAGTACTTGATATGGAAAGCTGATACGAACATACGTGCATACACGCCCACGTGTCCTTCGCACACGTGTTTGTGTGCGTGTATATACACACATGCCAAATAAAAAAAATGTTAGGGAGGAAGAAATCTAGCAGCCTAATTTGAGAATACGAAGTACTACTACTTGAACAGAAGACAAGCATATCTGAAAATTTTCGCACACGTAACGCATCAAATTCTCTAAACTGCTTGCTTATGTATACACTCTGGGAAAAAAAGTGGAGTATTCGCGGAATAATTCTGCTAGACAACAATAATCGCTTTCTGAATTGCTCGCGTTTGCTTTCTTGAAAACCAGGCGCTGGCCACTTTCTTCTAGAAAACTGTCACATTGATAACGCGCGCACTGTTCGGGACCGTGAACTAACGGAACTGTGGTGATAACGCGAGGAAAGTAGTCGAAGTAGATGATTATTGTTGTGTGGCAGAATGATTTCTACTTGAACAGGTCTGGTCTGGTGCCATTCCCATTGTGCATGAGCTGCAACGAACCTTCAAATATCGACCATTTTGTTTTCACACGATACCGTTCCAAAAATCATCGGGAAAAGATGTTTTGAATTTTTATTTAGAAAACTAGGAATTTCACTCACTACTCTGAATATTTTGCCCTTTGGGGCTGCTTCATTAGGATTCAGCGACAAGAACCTCTGCGGGGCCCTCTACGAATTCCTATGTGACACAAGGAGATTACCTTGCTGAGCCATTGATCAGCTCTCGATTTTTGCAAACCAATCTCACATTTCGTATTTCATTATTACACTATAATGACTTGACCTCCAGAAGAATTGTATATAATTATTACGCCTAAATTATTTAAAAAATCTTATTATTTCTTTTCTTTCACTTTTTTTCACATTGTGCCAAAATAATTCCTTCTTGTCAAAACAATGTAACGATATTTCGCTAGCCTGGATAATTCGTAGTTGTTGACTTACATCAACCGCAGGCTTCTTACCCAATCTCCCTTAGCGGGTAATAGCTACAAGAAAGGATCAAGCAAGCAAGCAAACACTCCCAAAATACTCGATATTTTAGATTGTGTAAAAGAAACTATACTTCCCACTTACCGATGTTCGAATGTTGATAAGAATGCACACACGCTAAGCAACGATGTACTCACCCAGAAAAAATTAATCATCGCGAGCGAATCAATTGGCACAAACCACCGTAGGGCCCGTCAACTTCTTTCCAATACTACAGATTCTGATTTGTTCTATTCACCGTGGCACGTCGTCGGCATTCTTGGGGAAGTGATATAACAACGCACTAATTGTCATCTTTCCACTGTGATGCCACGTGTTGCGCCACTCTTGCATGCAATGGTCTTCGGACATTACTTTGCTCTTCCAACATTACTTACATACGGGGTCGTACAATCCCTATGTCTGGGGCGGATATTCGACATTTTATATCGCAAGGAGCTAATCATTGTTCGATGGAGAAGTGGTTTGAGAGCCCTAAATCAAAGGAAACGATACTTTATGAAGTCGATCCACACAGAAAATTTTCCATAGCGACAGACCTCCCACGACACCTAGAGACATTGATCCACCGACTTAGATTGGAAGTAGCATACACAAACAGCTTCCTGCACAAGATACATCGATCCAACTCACCGGAATGCCATTGTGGTCATGCAGAAGAAAATGTTCGCCATATTCTTTTGGAGTGCGTTAAATACGCGAATGAAAGAGAAAAATTAAAGAACAAATTAGCAAGTTTGGACAGACGGCCCCTCACAATAAAGAAACTACTTGGACCATGGCCTGAGATGCATCTCCAGAAAAGGCAATAATCTTCCTGACAGACTTTTTAGTGGAGACCGGACTGGACAAGCGCCTATGACTGACAGCCAGAGATGGGTATTATGTAAAATGTGGTCATGTATATACTGACACTAGATTAGTAAGGTGTGCGTGTAAGTAGTTTATGACTGTGTGAACTGCGTGAAGAAAACTGTGTATTGGCATGTTATTTGAACTGGTTTCTGTGTTCTATTATGTATGTTTTTTGTTGTTTTTTTGTATTGTTAATTTTTGGGTACCGTTCTGTATTATTATTTTATTTTTCGCTGCAAAACTTTGTGATATGGAGTAGCCGAGGCAATAGGCACCTCAACCTTTCCACAGCAAAACAGTTAAAACAGAACAGAACAGAACAGAGCCCGAAAAATAAGAAAGTAATGTCCGAAGACCATTGCATGCAAGAGTGGCGCAATGCGTGGCATCATGGTGGAAGGATGAAAATTAGTGCGTTGTTATATCACTTCTTCAAGAATGCAGACGACGAAAATATGAAATAACGGCGAAAAGAAGACGAAAATAACGACGAAAAGATGACGAAAAAGAAGAAATAAATTAACTATGTGACCGCTTCTCAACGCGCGCAATAACTTCTTTTTAACGTTGGCCCTGTTAGCGCGAGGTGGTGAGCTCTCACTTGGAGTCGGAAATACGTCCATTCCTGTCAGGTAGTAATATAAGTATTCTTTTTTTTTTCGTAGGTATAGAGATGTGGAATGACTTGCTGAATGACGTCGTCAGTGCTCAACCATTTGAATCAATTTCATCGCTGCTGGAAATTCATTCAGATGCATTGCAATGGGTTCTGCGTTATCTGTGCGGAAATAAACGAAGAAACGATGTACCGCGCCTGTACTCGCACATCGAAACACGCGCTTAACAGCCTGCATATGTGTGTCAATTACGTCACCGTTTGTTGTTAACATGTTAAATAGTTTTTTTATATAGTGAAACACATACCTATTGTTTGTTAATTGCGTTTATGGTGATAAAGCGTTGTTGTGGTTGGTTTGTATTGCATATTTTCCCTTTCATTTTCGTCTCCGCAATGAACTCCTATTTGTTTCGTATGCCTTCTCCTGTATAGGCATAAAAGGCCCACAGTAGTTAATGAATGAATAAATATTACGAGCGCACAGCTGCGACGGAGAGATAAACAAGAGAGGAGAAACAAACCAGAGGCAGTGCTCTGCGACCTCCTCCCTTCTACCTCCTGGCGCTCCCGTGAACAGAAGGGGGAGAGTTGGCGCATGCGCAGTGGTGTAGCGGACGGTCGCCGAGGGACAGACACAGCCCCGAGCTTAAGCTGCTTCACATCTAAAAGGAGGAGAAGACAGCACATGCGCCCTTCCTTTCGTCCTTTGTGTGTGTAGCACTTCCTTTGTCCTTTTTATACTCAGCATTCTAATTGGTTTTGTCTACATTATTAAGAACCAAAGTCCACCATTCAACCTGTTCTTTATTGTTTCGCACATGGTTCGCTCTTCTTGTATGTGTACAGTGGCACGGTCTCTCAAATTTCTAAGCTGTCGTTTTGCAGGAAAAAGATGACTTTCTTCAGGTGTTTATGAATGCTGACTACAACTGGGAACACGACTCAGACGAAAAACCTGACAGCTATGAGATAAAAAGTAAGTGTTGTTATGTCTCTAGATATTGAACGCGGCATCATTTTATTTATTTATTACTGCGTTGTAGAATTTATCGTCAGTTAATCCTATATATTCCAACGTATCAGTTCCCAACCACGTCTCCATCAGAATAGCAAAGCAGCGATTTGTACACGCTGGGCTAAGTTCTCTGCACATAAAAAAAACAACGCTTTTACCCCTCCTATATAAACCTGCAGTAGACTTGAAAAATCTCAGCCTGTTGAAAGTGCGACCATCGTTTATTCTCCTGCTCATCGTGCGTTCCAGTGATTAACAATTTTCACGGTGAATGAATAACAGTCATCACACTCTCGAAGTATGCTTAACCCTAAAATGTGTTACATAATTATGAAGGATGTACGTATATGAAGTCTAATGAATATGAAGTGCCTCAAATGTACTAGGCTGGACAGGTGTTGGTTTCAAAACAGGAATGCCCAGGTTCAAGTTCAAGAATGGTTCTTTTAAAGACGATAGTCTTTCTTAGGGTACTTCGACGCAAAAAGTTTGGTCTGCCTGTCCTTTCTTTTGTCTGCTTGTCCGCAGAGAGGATACACGAAACGGCCAAAATCCAACCCCATCCACAGCGACCCCCAATACTGCTCAAGTTTCAGCGTTCATACTTGTGCGATGGTGTATTGAAAAAAAATTATTGAGAATATCTGAGCGCAATAAGAAAACATCAGTATTTTGTGGTGTGTCTCTTTATACACGAGAGGAAGGCGCCGGGCACGCCGGCACCTCCCTCTCGCTGGCACCAGTCGCGCATGCGCGAGCTGCCATACGTAGCGTGCCCACAATAGAGAGGAGGAGTCCACTATTCTTGCCTACTTTCGGCTTAACAAAATGTGACGTAGCGCCTTCGTAACGCCTTCTCCTCAGCTTATTCCTCCTTCCATGCCCGCGCGTGGAGGAAGGAATAATCTGAGGAGAGGGTGTTCCTCTATGCCAACGCACGGAGGAACGAAAGGTTCCTCCATGTTTCAACGCTGTGCTAAGACGACGTGGCGGCGGCACCTACCTGTCGCTTTGCGCTCTACACCTTATCTTCTTCGAGACGGGTGTACACGCCACACGCTTGCTATATGAGAGGCCATCTTTCGTTTTTAAAGGTAACTGCAGGTAGCGCTCATGTCTCACGTGCCTCGATGCACTCGTTTGCCTCCGCTGCACGCATCGAGGCACCCTAACGCAGAACCGCCAGGATACCATTCACCAATTTTCTTGCGAAGAACATCAAATAAACAATTTGTTCATTCCCTCCAGAGGCAATGCTATCGTCTGTCGACGACACTTGCAGTGTAACATGTAGATACGGGGCCAATTTTTTTACAATTGATAAGAGCCGCATTTCTGAAAGCAGCGTGCGAAAGCGGTGCCTACGCCATTCCAATAGATTTCGCCCCTCCGCTTGGCCTTTCTCGCGGGCTCTTCATTTTACTAGGATGATTTTCTTCTGTTGAGCGGTGCTAATGCACTAAAGCACACTAGTGCCCATGCTTCTGTCTTTTCTTGAAATACGTGTTTAGTAAATGGAAACTTTTTTACATTTGATTGTCAATTTCTGCTTTATTCACATTGCACTTGTTCTCTTGAAACCTGTAAGCGGCAGAGTTGCCTAATTTATTGTAATTAAAAGGGAAATTAAAATACTCAATTCTATTCTGAACATCTTTTTTCAGAAATGACACTGGAAGAAATAACAGCCCAGGGTGTAGTGTTCTTCATTGCTGGAGTAGAGAGCGTCTCGATTGCCCTCACCGTTACCGCTTATTACATGGCGCTTAATCGTGACTCTCAAGACAGAGTCATCGCAGAGGTCGACAAGGCCCTCGCAAAGGTATGGAATGAATACAATGCTGATGCGCTGCTGCAATCGATACTATGATGAATATGGCTGCTTGATAAGCTCGATGATTCCTGGGAAGTACTATTGCCCTCATAGGTAAAATTTCAACTGTGTTGTAGTTTTATTTATATTAACATTTGATATTCACACAATTGCTGCATGCATGTCACTTTTGAAGAGCCAGCAATAATGTCTGGTGCCTCCTTAAAGGCGTCTACAATGGTATTTGATCATATGTCAAGTACCTTCATCAAACCTTTCATGGAGCTTGCTAAAATTAACTAATCAGCCGGGCTGGTATATGGTAAGGAGGCGTTAATCACGCCAAGCAAGTTTTATGTTTAAACTTTACAGTTGAAACGTCAAAAATTCAAAAATTTCAAACAGTAACACGGCCCAAAACGTCATCTGAAATACAAAATTCGCGAACATGTACTAACACGTAAACAATGAGAAATGGAGGTGAGTAAGAACTGCCGGAAAGCTGCCATCTATGAAACATATTTAGTTGCCGATTAATTTCCATCTCTTTTATTTTCAGGGTGAACTCACGTATGATTCCCTACAAGAGATGCAGTATCTTGATGCTTGTATCAAGGAGGCCATGAGACTTTGCACTCCTGATTCAATGTAAGGGTCATCACTAAACTTTATGTAATTGTGTTTGTATCGATTCACCACGTGAAGTAAGTAACAGAAGAACATAACATGTAATTATGGCAAAGTGTGCGAGAGTATATGACCTCTAACAGAGCATAATAGAGGAAGGACACTCTGAGAGTAGAAAAATATGGAAAGATTTCGCTCCGAAACTGGGAAACTAAATGTGCGGCTTAAAGAGGGACGCGGAAGTCTCATGGCTGAGGCACAATCACACGCACTCTTCTTTCGCTCTGAAGTGCCATTTGTACTTCCGGTGCATGCTTAACGCAAGCCATGGGCTGGCTGACATTTACCGTGAGGCGAAAAATACTTCCAAGTTTGACGAATTAGTTCTACAATGCCTATTTATTTCAATTATTTGTCTGTATTTTTAAGCTCTCCCTTTACATTCCTTTTTATCCTTTTTTTATTTATACTTTTTTATTTATTTAGTTTGTTTATCCTTTTAAATTGCCGACCATCACCATTACTATAACTGGAGCGGCACATATAAACAGTTTCGTAAACCTGCGTTGGTAAACTTGTGTTAGTGCTGGGTGCTACTACACAAATGTTGGTACGGTATACCACTCAGTACAGTCCATAAGTTCTGTTCGATCACTTACTACGTTCTGTATGCCCAGACTTTAAATGAAGCCTAAAGCATCCCCTTCCTCACCACCTCAAAACACTCTATAACTGACTTCACCTCAACACAGCAATCAGCAACAAAGACGTGTGATGCCTTGATTTGGCCTATAAGCCTAATTTTATAACCATCATGTATTGAACCTATGTTATATAGTGTATGAGTATGCCTTTGCTCTGACTTCTTTATCGCAACCTCGCCAAACTTTAGTATTTCTTTTTGCGTCCCCCTAAGTTTTTACCTAACTATTAAACTCGAAAGTGAGCTCCTCCTCAATAATAGTACCTCACCTGCACAAGTAGAGGTGGCACATCTTTTTTTTTTTTTTCCTACGTATCATGCTGCTCCTGATTGTGTACCATGCCGCTCCTGATTTGTGCCCTGATTGCCATTCCCTATACAGAGTATCATGTAGGCGCGATATATAGGTGAGCAGATTTGTTTGTATTTCAGAAGGAGCATTCTCTCTCTCTACTGTTAAGTAGGAACCATCGAATTTAAACTGCATCAATACAGTTGATTTAACTGACCAGTTTGAATCCTATGTTAGTGGCATGTATCCGGAACGACGTAGCCGGTAAACATAGCCTTCAATATTTCTACTACTTCTTCTGATCTCTCTGCTCCATCACTCGCACCTATGTTCGGGACCTTGTTTGGTGGTACTAACAGAACTTCTCATCCCAATCAATCCTGCGTAAGCAAGGATGATTGGAAAACGATGTTGTTTTTTTTTAGTCATCAAGCAGCTACAATTGACAGAAAACTGAACATCTTGACGAGGTAACCCAAAGGTGCAACTGCACAGAACTTTTAGGTTAGAGAAATGAGGACTACACAGCCGCTGTCTCTTTTGTGGGCATGTTTTGCCAGCCCATCTCATGCGCAATATTATATTTTTTAGGAGTTATAGATATTTTCGCAGAACCTTGAGCACCGCATGACTTGCACGAAGAAACTACGTTCATCGCGTTATGTTCGAGTATTTTTACATTTGTACATTGCACCACAGAAGCTTCAGAGTCTGTACGGAGGAAACTATGGTGGCGGGCATTCACTTCAAGCCAGGCATGTGCGTCGACATTCCTTTGGCCGGAATCCACCATGATCCGGAATATTTTCCTGAACCAGAGAACTTCAATCCTGAGAGGTGAGTCGTCATTGTGAGAGAAAAAAAAACACGTACAAAAACAGAAAAAAACAAACAAAATTGACGCTCAAAGTCCATCATCTCCTTTGCGCCAGGTTTCTGTGGGGTAGCAAAATTTAAAGCGTGCTGAAGGAATTAAGAACAACAGGTGTCTCTCTTAGGTCACGCGTTGCGTTAGGTGGTTTATCGACTTCAAATTCTGGTGTTTTAGTTCGCTTGCGCAGTTATAATTAGTTTAATAAACCAAAAAAGAACAGGCCAGAAGTCAGTGACGTGTGGCTATAGAAGCGTGCCTGAAAGGGCTACAGGCATAAAAGTTTTAATGCTCGTCATTTTTACCCATGGATAACTTGTTTCGCTCAAACGAAAGTAAAGGACCATAAATAAAGTAGTGGGACTTGAAAACTGAACTTGTTCACAAAAAAAAGGGAAGATAAGACTAACTGATACGGAACGCGTGTTTGCCAATAAGTAGTTGGTTAGAGGTGCTTTTCTGCCGCAAAATTTTCTGCAATACAATTTTCTGCTGCTAAATTTAAGCTATGTGATCTGGTACACTGTTGTCTAATCGATGTATTTTTTTGGTTTGAGTGGTGGTTACTAGTTAGGTCTTTTGTTCAGTGCTGCTGCCGTTCTTTATCGCCATATACGTTATAACACTGCTTCTGTATGTTTGTTGCACGCTTTCCAACAGGTTCATGCCGGAAAACAAAGATGCCGTAAGACCATTCACTTACATGCCTTTCGGGGAAGGACCTCGTAACTGCGTCGGGATGCGCCTCGGCCTGCTTCAGATTAAGACAACTCTCGCTTGCCTGCTTCAGTACGTACGGTTCGAGACTTTCCCTGAAACAATGGTAAGCACTGAGTTGTTATAAATATACACGACTTGCATGAACGGCTCACTCAGGGACACCACTACCAATGGGAAATAATGTTGTGCTTAGTTGATCCTAGATGGTACAACCACGGCCACTCGATCTTCCCCTGTGACGCGGCCCGACGAATGCTCCCCTTCGCCTGGGAGAGCGCTAGTTCCCTTTCCAGCCACCGCATCGGCTGTGGCGCTAGCTATCGGCGACGCAGGAGTTTCTCCCAAAGCTCCCTTCAGATGTAGTGAGCTATCTGCTAATAGTTACCCGTGTTTCTGGTCAGTGCTTCGTCATAGTCACGTGAACTGGTCGCATTACTTTAGCCGGATTAGTGGTCCATGAGAGAGTGACACACATTATCACGAGCAATACGACGGACACAGGAAACAAGACTGTTCCGGCCACGCGGCTAAGGCCCGTGTACTATGTGATGTCACTGCACGTTAGTAAAGAACTCTAGATGATTGAAAATGTCCTAGCCATGCATCATCCACTTCGGCGTGGCTCATAATTATATTGTGGCTTTGGCCCGTGAAACCCCAGATATTACTATTATCGTTAACAACGGTCCACCTCGGTGGAATAGTGGCTAGGGTGCTCGGCTGGTGACCCCAAGGCCATGCGTTCAATCCTGGCCGCGGCAGCACCATTTCGATAGTGGCGAAAATGCATTGAGGCTTGTATGCTGTGCGATGGCAGTGCTCATTAAAGAACCCCAGATGGTCAAAACTTTTGGAACCTTCCACTAAAGCGTCCCACATAATCATATCAATGTTTTGAACGTACAACTACACATATGATTAAGAACGAAGAGTTGTACCTATATCGTTAATTCACTGCTATTTACTTTTTACGGGCTAATTAAATCCCAGAGAACTCCGAATTTACTTGTGAATACGAACGATAGTGGGCTATATTTGTTGATTTTGAGGTATTTTGGAGACATGGACATGCTGGCGAAAAAACTGTTGCAGCAAGCTTAACGATAATGCCAGTAGCAAAAAACTACTTTTTTCTAAGTTTCTCTCTAAAAAAAAAATAATAATAACACCGCGTGTGTATATGTGCGCCGTTAGACCGATGTTCTGTATAAAGGGAAGCAATATCCCATATGCTTGCGGTAGGCGCGTAGCCAAATTTTTTATTCGGCAAGGGGGGGGGGGCTGACTTAATTTCGGGAAGGGCATCCCCTTGAAACTTTACCTTAGATGGTAATTTTTCGCTCATATGCCATGGCGATAAAAATGTGGGGAGGGGCCCCTTGTGCCACCCCCTGGCTTGCGGTAATATGTCAAAGCCAATCATGCACAACACATTAGCCCGACAGTTAAATACTTAGAGGTATATGGTTTGTAATACATACACTCCATTAGATGCACGCGGTGAGCCTGGCTGTCCGATTGAAGCAATCAAGGAAGCTCACGATCCTCGTCTTGATCTCGCTCGTACGACAACTCAACGCTGCATTGATAATGGCATTGGAAGTATTTAGAACGTAGTGACTCTGAATTCAGTGTCAACTAAATAGCCGAGATTACTGTGTATTTTATTTATAAAGGTATATTGTCCGTATTTATTTGCGCGTCAGGATGCATTTATTTCTGCGGCATATATTTGAGTATATTGTGAATCGAACAATCATCACTAATGATTCTTTGTATAAAGGTCTACTGAGGGTCTCTGTTTGCTTGTGATGACGTACGTATTTCTTTCCGCTATATATATATATATATATATATATATATATATATATATATATATATATATATATATATATATATATATATTTATCACTCAAATAATGTCGCAAGATGTGACAAACTGAGGGCTTTGTGGAGAAGAGGTTTTTGAAAATATCTGAGTATATTTTCTACCCAGCTGCTAAAAACTACAACCTGTTGGCTAGGAATATACACAGTAGCTTTATCATGACAGCAGTACGAAAGAACGAACTGGCATTGCATGCTGAACGAAGGACGGCAGCATACGACTGTGACAAAATAGGGAAGATGTGTGAGATTACCCGACGCAAGCAGGTGCAAGTGCGATTACTTTGCCGATGGGCAGCGCCCTCAACCCCGTCGTGGCCGCTCAGTAAAGTTTTCCCTTCACGCGCGCTCTTTTGTTCGGGAAATGGCTCGGCAGGCCGCACCAAATTGAGAGATCGAGTGGCCGTTGTACAACACTCCTAATTAGTGACAAATGTTGCCCAAACACAATACAAGATCACACGCTTCTTAACGTCAACTGCTCGAAGCTTTCATACTCGTAGACAGGAGCTTGTGAAAAGAAATAGTAGCTGGTCGATTGCACCAATTTTCGTGTGCGCGTGTTTTTTATTTTATTATTTTTCTTGCACCCCAGATTCCTCTGAAGTTCAAGCCGAGGCAACTTCTTCCTCACTTCGACGGCCCATTGCTTCTTCAGGCAATACCCCGTTGGGATTTTGAAAACAACGTTTCTTAACGAAGATCTCTTTTACGTAATGTGCGATTCTAAAAAAAATACGGCTGAATAATAAATAAAATCAATAAAGTATTCCAACAAGAATAAAAAAACAATGCTTTGAAGCGAGAAGATATTTTTTTAGGCCACCGTTGATATTCCCTAAACTAAGACCGGAAATAAAATACTTCATAAGTTTTATAGAACTTGCGTTGCGTTCACACTTAGTTTTGTCATGATGGCTAGCATTCATAGGCGTAAGCTATAATAGTCGATATGCGTGTATTTCTTGGACGTGTGAACTCGTCCACGACGTAAATTTTATCAACCGGGCCTCATCAAGTCTGAGGCCCACGCTTTAGTCTTTAGGCCCTCCCAAAGTAGAGTACCTAGTACTCTAAACCATTACCCACTTTCTCTAAACACACGCTCCCTGCCGCGGTGGTCTAGTGGCTAAGGTACTCGGCTGCTGACCCGCAGGTCGCGGCATCGAATGCCAGCTGCGGCGGCTGCATTTTCGGTGGAGACAAAAATGGTGTAGGCCCGTGTGCTCAGATTTCGGTGCACGTTGAAGAACCCCAGGTGGTCGAAATTTCCGGAGCCCTCCAATACGGCGTCTCTCATAATCATATGGTGGTTTGGGACGTTAAACCTCTCATATCCATCAAAGCTGTAGTAGTACGTTGCAAGAACTCAACAAATAAATCCTGGCAAGATGACACACGCAGTTCACAATTTGTCTTGGAGAGCGTTCAGAACGAGCTGCATGGATATATAGTGCCAGATGCGCGCCATCTAATCGACCTGTGCTCCTTTCCTGTCCGGGTACTGAAGACCACTCGTTCTGCAGCTGCCTGATTGGACACAGATGCTACCTGCCATCCAACGGAAGTAGAACACCCGCTATCTCGACTTCGTCTTTCCGCAAACGACCGTTAACATCTCCTTATAGAATAACTCTGCCACTTCACGCTTGCTCTCATCTCTCTCCATGGATGATTTCCGGAACAAATGATGAAAGTAACGCAGTAATGAAAACGACTTAAAAAATGAAGGTGGAGTTAAAGACAACCACTTCGAAAAAGCATCAGCTTCGCATCCGGCCAGAAAGGCACCGCCTGAAGATGAGACCGAACGGGTCTTGAAACGTTGGGACATTTTTTTTTTAATCTGAACATTAAACATGGCTGAAAAGTAGTTTATACGTTCAAGCTCACCCTGCCGTAGATACCTGTCAAAAAAATTCAAAGCATATCCACGGAGTGAATGATGTGTGGGACGAAGCGTTCATCCATCCGTCCGTCTTTCCGTCTCTGTGTCTGTCTGTCCATCCGTTCGTTCATCCAACTATACGAAATTGTCAGCTATACAAAAGCCACCAACGCCATCTAGTGATATTAATTCTAATGACATAACACACAACGCCATCCTTTGAGCAATTCATAACATGCTATTACTACTACTACTACTACTACTACTACTACTACTACTACTACTGCTGATGATGCTGCTACTACAGAGGAAGGAAAGACCTTTACTCTAAGGGCCTTCCCGCCAATTATGCTTGTGTTTAGGAGCAAAGTCGTGTCACCTCTTAAGAACCTACCCTAGTCTTCATGAGGTTCGCAACATCCACCTGCGTGTCCTTGATCAGCAGCCAGGTCGACCACCTGACCTGGATGCAGGGTCCTTTAGACAAGCCGCTTGCAGACAAACCCAAGAAAAATAATTGTGTCTTTCACAGCGAGAGCTGTACATGACTAGGAGAAACAAAAAAAACCATCCGGTAGCGCTGTCATGAGTGGTCTCCATTGACTGAGTGATGAGTTACGTCACTCGTATAGGGTCGCGCCCAAGCACGTGCGCCATTGGCTGCATTGCGAGTCAGGTCGCGATGTCAAATGCTTGCGAAAACGCTGTGTTGTGTCGTGAATCTGATGGTTGCGGGAGAGCATTTGCCGTGTCGAACGGCCGCGTTCACTCGAGCTTCTGCAACAGCACTTTGGCTTCGGCTGTGACGTCTGTGACAGCCTGCGGTTCGAGAACAACCACTGTGATTAACGCATTGCGAAACGCATTTAACCACTCATTACACTCTTCCATGACCATGATCATGCGTGGCCCAATGTGCGATTTGTAAAATAAAAAAGAAGCCTTCACTAATGAAGGCTTTTTTTCTCATTATTGACTTCGAGAAGGCTGTACATTTTGAACGAAAGCCTTGCTGATGAGCAAGCGAATCACTGCTGCGCACTTCCTGCAGCTTGCACGCTGAGTGCGACCGCATAATTTTTTTTTTACAGCGAGAGATGTATGAGATCACAGCAAGGGCCGTTTCGGCGCTGTAGTAGCATGCCACTGCTAGTCTTCATAGCCACTATCGCGCGTAATAAAAGAAAACGATGTCAGTGAAAAAAATTCGTAATATCACGGCTCAAAGTCTGGGTGCTCTTCGTGGCAGCCCAGTATTCTATCACAGTGCTATGCGGGGGAAAGAAACTCCTCCACAAAAAGATCCTATACAGGCGTTATGCCGGAAGAAACCACGTTAACATGCGTAGTATAGTTTGGTAGAAGAGTAAAATCACTACCAGGTGTCACACAACGTGAATTGTGTAACCAGGCTTCGGAAACTACAAATTGCGTAACCATGGGGTCATTTAGTGCTTTCAATCCATTATAAAGGGTTAATTCATAATGCTTCATCACCATCAGCCACCACGTCAACAAAATACACAATGCCTTGCAAATGCGTAGTTGTTAACTCGCTTCTCCGTAGAATAATGAATAACAGCGTAGTAGATGCTCCACTACTAGAAAAAAAAAGTTATGGCATAGTGGGTACCTTGCAAGCATACTTGTACTATATAGTATACCTAAATGAGGTTGCAACGGGTTCTAGACATGCTTTTCTTCCACCTTTAGCTGTGGCTGTGCCACACTTTCCGCGCATGCCAGACGTTGTTCTTTTCATTATCTCGAGAACTCTGTTATCTTACCCATCGTCTCTGCTATGTGGTTTGATATCACCCAAGCACTCGTTTTATATTTTCTTGGTTTCTTTAGGTCCATTTCTGTTTTTCAATTGGTGTGGCTATCTACACGCACGGACCAGCTTGCCATCACCTGTTCCCAGATCAAATGAAGTGTGCACGGCGAGTTGTAAGCTCTCCGCTGTCTTGACAGCTCCGTTCGTTTTGAAGACGTGCGACATCGCTTCTGAACGGCATAATGGTACACTAAGCGCGATAAATATCCGCAACTCGGTCAGACAGATAGGGCGCTATTTTGATGAAACGAAAGTAGCTTTATCAGCCCAAGTGTTGTATCTCTCTCCACTCACGTGCCCAGCTCCATAAAAGGAAAAAAAAGCGAGGGAGCATTATGGGACTTGACTAGCCACGCCCAGACAACTTCATTGACACTGCCCCTGGCACTCTGCGGAACTCACGTGCGTGGTGCCTCTTCAGCAGGTAAGGGGGAGTGTTGGGCTTGATTTGGTATGGAGCATAATAGGACATGATTACTATTGAAAAGAGGGGTGGAGGGGGATGCATCAATGGGCTCCAGCAGCATGTATAATCGAAGGTTGACCAAACCTGCTAATTTTACTCTCCTATCACACGACTGGAACCCATTTCTTTCTGAAAGGGATACTAAAGAGCAAAAGAAATAGTTTCGCTAATATCAGTAAATGACTAACACTTCCAAAGTCCTCACGCTTGCCGCTAGAGAACGCGAAAAAACGAAAATAACGTTGGCGACACAACCTGGAAATTCTCGCACCGGAAGTCATGACATTTTTCGACATCAAGAAATTTCGTTGCACCACTATGGCCAAAATACAAAAAAAAAACTGCGCTTTGGAATCCGTGACGTCATGCACGGGTATTTCCACGAGATACCTAAAAGTGATTTTTTGACCTTGATTTCATCCCTATTAATATCTTATGATGACGAAATTAAAAAAAAAACATTCCACTTCTAGGAGTGTAACTCATCATTTTAAAACGTCATTGTTTTGGCTTCAGCGTCCCGCTAAGTTTCTTATGACAAGGCTTCGAGACCATAACCCGACGTTCTCCTCCTAATCTTTATCCTCTCTCTCTGCCTGTCTCTCACTTCCCGAGTTGCGCTAACGCTCTTAATACCCCGCGAAGGGTGCACTGCGCAACCGTTTCGCCAGCAATTCTCGTGGAGGGAGAAGCGCGGGCGTCAATCAGTTGCGCCTCCACGAACGTAACGCCGACTTTTGTCGTTTTACTTACAGCCCGTTGCCAACGGCGTGACACCCCGAAAAACCGAGAGGGAGTGGAGCTTCCAAAGTGCGATCGTTTTGACGTCTGCGTTCGCCCGAACTCGGCTTCAGTGTGTGAGACACGACCAAAACTACACCCACCTGAACGAGAAATTCTTCTGATTGTTCTGTGCCCAGAGATTTCAGAGGAACACGCACAAATGTTGGTCATCTTCGTCGCAATTTTCGTGCTCTTACTGACGGGCGTCCTTTGGTAGGTACAATTTTTCGTATATAATGTTCATTACGTAAACGGTTACTCACGGGGTCGTATTTATTGACGACACCTTTCATCTCAAGTTCAGTAATTAGCGGGGCGACGGAGCAGGTGATAAATGTTAATAATAAAACCACGAGATGATCAATAGAGACCCCATAGCTGGGCTCCGGACTTTTGGACCTTCCGGAGCTCTTTAACGTGCGCCTAAATCTACACACATGGGCTTCTAGCATATTGCCTTCATCGGGGTTCGATCCGGCGACCTTCTGGTCAGTAGTGGAACACCATAACTGCGCACCGCCCGGTGGGTTGCGGCCACGGTGGATGTAAAATATTTTGAGAAGAATGCCTGTTTGAAGAAAACTTCAGGAGGTAAACATAGCCATTTGGGAAACCGCACGATTCTGTTCCAATAATATTTGACCCCTGTTACGGTGCCCTTCGTAAGGGCACCATAATGTAATCTCCCTGACATTTGCGTATTTAGGACACCAAACATTTGTTTAGATAGGATAAAATTCCTTAGTCTGGCTCTTTTATGCCATCCATTTTAGGAATATGGCGGCAACAGCACACATCCTGAATTGTTTATTAAACAGTGCTTTGGTATGGGCAAGTGAATGCGACATCATTGCAAAGTTAGCTCGCACAAAAAACTCACACGTCAGAAAACATGCCAACACAGGAAGCTCAGCAGTCGCGACCTGTTTGTGCGTCTTCGGTTTTTAGATGGTTGTGCAGCACAAAAAGATGCAGGAAAATTTGAATACCAAATGTTTATTTCTGAATCAGTGAACCAGATGACATTTTTGACATGCTTGCTATATATTGGCTTCTCGCTTCATGAAATAATGAATTGTTAGTCTGCACCCTTGTCGGTGGTATTGCTGTTTCTTTCTGCTCATAGTGCGCGTCTAGAGTACAAGTGTTAAATAACTAGTCTGCATGAGAGTGTTGCTGTGTGTGCGTGTTTTCTTACGTTTTCGACCTTCGTGCTAATTACCCATGTCATCGATGAGGAGCGTAGCTTGAAAAAAAAAACTTTAGTGTAGGGGGAGAAGTTCCAAGCATATTTGATGTATAGTTGTTGATTGATTGATTTGTGGGGTTTAACGCCCCAAAACCACCATATGATTATGAGAGACGCCGTAGTGGAGGTCTCCGGAAATTTTGACAACCTGGGGTTCTTTAACGTGCACCCAAATCTAAGCACACGGGCCTACGACATTTCCGCCTCCATCGGAAATGCAGCCACCGCAGCCGGGATTTGAACCCGCGACCTGCGGGTCAGCAGCCGAGTACCTTAGCCACTAGACCACCAGGGCGGGGCATGTATAGTTGTTGCGTGCGTTTGTACATGTGCTGGTGCGCATATACATGCAAAATTGAACATTTTTGAAGGCATAGGAATTGAACTCTTCTACTTCGCTACACCAGTTTTGTTGATGCTTGCCTCTTGAAAACGCCGGACCGGGAGAGAAAGGGGAGGAAGGGTAGTTTTGCCTGTTTCACTTGTGGTGAAGTATCTATAAAGCGGACAACTGCAGAAAGAACTTCAAGGGAATCAGCAAGCTACTATTCAGACATACCCACCCGAGCCGTCCGTACAGATAATTAACCATGAGAAGCTGAAGCTGAAGCTCGCATCACCAGTTCTTATATCACGGGATTAATTATTGGTGATTGAATAAAGTATTTATGAAGTATTGTTTATGCCTGTTCAGAAATCTGTGTTGGCGTTAGCCGCCCACGTGTTCCCTTACATTTCAGTGGACCAGGGGTGACTAGGGGAATTCGCCTAATTTCTGTGACCCCATGCTTGCTAGGAAATCTTTCGCGCAAAAGACGGACGAATATTTTCGCCTAACCATAGCTCTCTACAAAACAAACGATTACTTTCGCCGCGCTTGACATCCTTGTAATTTCGTCGCGAGAAATTATTTATTTATTTATTTATTTATTTATTTATTTACTACTTCCCGATGTGGCACTGACAGATCCGCCGATGCGATTCTGACTATAGGACATACATATTTGCTGGCATTACTGTAACAATATTCAAAGTGCCGCATCCAACTCTAAACCACAGTTTAAATATATCCCCTAAGTACTCTGTGAGGACGCCACCAGATCCCTGTTGCGGACAATCACACAATTGTGATCTTTCTAATTTCTTAATTGGGCAAGATATAATTAATTAGCCTTTGAAGCAACGAAGCCCGATCGGGGAAACATTTCAACGAAGAAGTTGTAGGCCACCTTACAAGGCCTCTGATTGGACAGCGTCTAACATTCCGTCTATGACGCTGTTGTATTTTCCTGCTTATTACTTGACCACCGAAATAGGGAAAATACCACACTTCATGCCCACTGTTGCGTGCTTATGCGCGCCACGATTGCAGTGTTCCTTGAGGTTCATCGTGCGGATGAACCCAGCATTAGAGTAGTGTCCCTTAAAAGGGCCGTGCAACACTTTTTCAAGGAGCCATAGAATCAATTCAACAAAGAGCCTAATGCCTCACGAATGCATCGCTGCGAAAACTGTTAGAGAATGCACCTAGATCTAGGGGACTTGCAAGTAAAGCTTTGTGGCACGCGGCGATTGCCTTATCTCTTCTCTCATACCAACGAAAGCGTTGGAAGCTAAGCAGTTACGGGATAGGACAGGGAAAAAATACGTCACGTGCGCCCCATAATTTCGACCACTCCCCCCACCCCCCTCCTTATACGCAGCTTTTCACTGCGATCGCGCACGCACGCGTGGACCAGTCGCGGCCTCCCGTGGCTGCCGCAGTAACGACTGAGAGCGCCATGTTCAAATCAGTTGATGGCTGATATATTGGCTGTCACGAACGATTGTTCAGCTTGTGGCGTCACTTGTCGAAAGAAGGGAAATAAATTTTCTGCTGACTTTGAGAATTTGTCGTCAATTTTAGGCTGCGTGCTGCGCTGTAATATTTTGCTCACGTGTCCTAGGCAGCCTAGAGAGAAAATGTTGGTAAACTCCTGCCTCATTAAGCAATGAGTGTACGCATATCCAAGAAGTGGATGCTTATTATAGAGCGAAGCTAACTTCAAAGGTCCACAATGTTTATGCTGTAGTTTCTTATTAGTAAGAGGAACAACAGACGGTCGGGCGGATAGAGATCGACGGATGGTCTATTTTTTAGGCATATATATGCCCCCATGAATGGTTTTGGGCATAGATGTTTTGCACCTGTGCTTCGACTGTGTACGGCGCCCAGATGGATTGAATCTGGATGGACATCATGCGGATTAGAGAGCTTCAGCTCTTAATAGTATGCCTTATTCTGTGCAGGAGTCAGCAACATGCATTCGGTCGCATGGTCACTGAGTACGGCAGCACATTTTCGAACTCTGACTATGAGTTTGCTGGTACACACTGTATGTGAAGCTGGGCGTTGAAAGAGCAGCACAAAGCGCACCGTATCGGTGTCGTACAGTTCACGTATCTTATCACTTTCCTCGTTGAATTTTACAGGTGGGTACGGCGAACTTTCACTTTCTGGAATGGCAAAGGAATCACCCATCTTACTTTCTGTCAGTACATGCGCTTCGCCTACGACATCTACACCAAGGTAGGGGGACTCCTACAGATGTCGATAATGAGAAATTACACTAACTACCACATTACTACGGTCTTCTGTGAAAATTGTGGCTGATCAATAACTCAAGCTTTTCCCTAGAAAATAACGCCAAGAATAAAAAGCAGCCAAAGTTATCCTTTTTAACGAGCACCTTGGTAGTAACCTGCACTATTGTACTGAGTAATAAAGGCGATAAGTTACTGTTATGAATATACAGGGTCTCGCTAGCACCAAACCATAGTATTCGTATTTACACGGTAAGTACAGTATAAGGCAGTTTTCAAGCGTTAACATGATTCTACTTACAGCTAAAGAGCACTTCAAAATAAGCATTATAAAATAAAATGATGATTCGGTGTCCAACAAAGATAAACAGACTCGAGAATGTTCACACACGTTCGATTATTAGTGCTATGAACAAACAGTCGTGAATTATCATATGCAAGAGGATTCTTTCTGGACTGACATACTTCACTGGACTGTTTTCTTGCTAAATACCTGATTTGAAATGTGGTTTCCTCTAAACATTGAGGAAGTATAAAAATTTAATAAGCCGTAAAACGTTCAGCGAAGCGCGCGCGTCAACTTGTGGCGGTGATGTATCGTCGCTACAATATGTAGTTGGCGATGCGAGGTAGATTGGTGCTCACATAAAAAAATTGCGACGCGCCATTATACGCAAATTTTTCTTAAATATTTTGTTAAAAATCACGTTATACTCTGGGAATCTTTAACAAAAATACATACGAACGAAAACCACATTAAAGTGGCATGATTAGTAACAAAGCTGCAGTGCAAGTGAACAGGCTAGCTTTAAAAGAAACAGTGTTTCACACAAAAAAAGCAAACGTTCATGTTTACATTACAGCGTCAGTTTAAATTTCGGTTGTGGTCTTTGTTTATAGGTATGCCAAAGATATGCTCTAGAATATAAATTGACATGCGCAATTTTTTATCCTATTTCGAATATACGTAATGATAGTTAGAAGCTGATATTGTTTCGTGTGGAGTAGTTCGGTCATATTGGTAGATTGTTCCGGCACGTAATGATGGAAGAATAAAGTGTATGAAATGCGTATCGTGTCTTGCTTGCAGCCACTGAATGACGTAGTTACTCAGGCCTACTCAAAATATGGTCGTGTGTATGGGTAAGTAAACGTTATGTTTCCTTGTGATATGAACGCCGTGGTCGAGGCGCCACGTTGTCCTTGCGCCAGAATAATAGTGACATCTTCTTAAACTATGGCGGAGGAAGTGACGTGCTTTCCTGAATTCTTTAGTCAGTATACAACTTTAGAAGGCAGCGGCATTTTCCCCTCAAAGGTGGATGCACGCGAGCCTCTGCCAATAGGCGCGAACTTCAGGTGACGTCATGAGCCGGACGGCCGGTTACCCTGCAAACGGAAAACATGCTGCCTTCGCTGTTTCCAACTCAGCCCACAAACGACCGATCGTTGGCAGCAGTGTGATAAGATAGCTGAGCGTCCAGCTGCCCGAATGAGCGTTTTCAGCTCACCACGATAATCAGGGAACAATAGTTGTTTCTATTCAGATATGCCAGCACTGAAATGTGTTTCTATGTCACTTCTCAAATCGAACATGATGTGTGAGAAACGTTGCTTTTCGGCATGTGCGGTCCCGCATGTGCTGTAGCCTTTCTATCATTACAGTTTTACCAAAGCGCTTGTCCCAATACACAATTCTTATTTGTGCCGACAAATACGCGTTTTAGAAGCAGTCTCAGTTTTTTGAGCGGGACTATTTTTTTTAGTCGTCGAGTAAATTGGCTGCTGTGTTTCGGGTATCACGGTGGGGCCTCTCCTGTCTTCTAAAGTTGTACACTACTATAGCTATATCAACAGTGCTGTCGTATACATTGGTTCCTCATAACGCTGAGGTATGAGCCTACCACGCATGCATGCTTATAGTATGTTCACTGTATAGCGTTTGCTAAGCAGACGCCAAAGCTGATCTCCACATTATCGATTGCGTCATGAGACAAGGCCCGTATCATAGGAATCACGGATATTCTTGGCAATGCTACAAAAAATGGACATCTGGCAGCATTGTATTAAATACGTACTGTGGCGTAATGGAGAATGAAGAGGCGGACGCTGATGCTAAAAGAACTTTAAAAAAACGGCCCAATGTTTTCCACTACCTTTTCTCAAATAGGCACTAACGCCTCACTTCGAGGGGCCATTCGCAGCTTCACATTATCGCACTGGAACAAACCTGAATGCCGGTACCAGCGGCTGCACAAACGTGACCCAGAAAAGAAGTTCTGTATGCCTCACAAGCGAAAGCGCGGACGCATCGCATGCTTGTATCCCCGCATTTGTCTCGTAGGGGCATACACGATACGTTACGGCCACTTCATCGGCTGCAGTGACACAGGTCCTGACTGTGGCCCCTGTCCGTTACCAGAAACAATCAAACAGTTAGCGTACGCTCAAGAACGTCAGAAATTGATCCCTTAGAATGAACGACATCTTAAAAGACCACTTATGATGTACTGTTATAGCTCCTTCACCTGACGTCCGCAGCATAAACATGGTTATAGGAGGCGTAGTAGTATTCTTACAAGCCACCGAATTGATTGATTGATATGTGGGGTTTAACGTCCCAAAACCACCATATGATTATGAGAGACGCCGTAGTGGAGGGCTCCGGAAATTTCGACCACCTGGGGTTCTTTAACGTGCACCCAAATCTGAGCACACGGGCCTACAACATTTCCGCCTCCATCGGAAATGCAGCCGCCGCAGCCGGGATTCGAACCCGCGACCTGCGGGTCAGCAGCCGAGTACCTTAGCCACTAGACCACCGCGGCGGGGCAAGTAGTATTCTTACAAGCCACCGAACTGGAGGCAGGTATGTACATTTGTCCCAGCGTAACAGGACTACATTCTCATCTCTCTACCTTTCCATTGTCATTCATATCTCCTTCGCTCCCTTGATTCCCCTCCACAGGATACAGTAGCCGTGCTGAGCTAACTGTAGCTTAGGGTTGACCTCTCTGGCTTTTTGTGAATTAATGATCTTTCCCTTCGCTAAGGTAACACGCGTGCTTTTCTGTGCGTGGAGTTCTTTGAGCACGCTACGTTTACCGTGTCGTAAACTGAAAGGACCATCACCATCAATCGGCACGTGCGATCCTCAATCTCTTCTTCATCGTCGTTGTCTGCTTCATCTTCTGCTTCGCTCCCGCAACACGTGCGGAGATTTTTCCGGCGCTGGATACAATAACTTGATGGGCAAAAGAACGACTACAAAAAGAGAAAGAGAGAGAGGGGGAAAGGGAAAGGAAAAGAAATATAAAAAATTCTTGGTCAGGCAGCATCGTAATCCGCGTTACCACGATCCAAAGTCGAGTGATGTAACCACTCTGTTCTCTAAGCACACTAGCGTAACCTTGATTAAAAGGGAAGTGAGCGTAAAAAGAGAGAAGTGAAGGTAAAGGAGGAAAGAAGTAGGTAAGAAAGTAAACTTTAGTATAGAAATATTGAGAAATAGAGTAAAAGAAATGTGAGAAGAGAAAGAATTGGCAGCGAAAAAGGGAGAAAGAGAGAGAATTAGGAGAGAGATATATATATAGAGATCAAGATGAAGCAAGTTACAACACGAGAGAGGAAAGAAAGAAAGAGAAAATTTGTAAACAGCAAGAACTAGACTGAAAGAAAGTGAGGGTGACAAACGAAACAGAGATTGATAAATGACGCTGATAGTGAGGTGGAGGAAAAGGTGTACCGGTGAGAGTGTGGAATAGCAGAGACAGAATATATGAAAAATGAATAAGAAAAGGTTGAGAAAGAGTGAAAAAGAGAGAAATAAATAGACATTGAAAGACAAATAAAGGGCAGGAATAGGAAGAAAAAATAGAAACAGCAAGACAAAAAATAAATAGACAAATAAAGCAATCAAACTGAAATAAAAAGAAAGTAAACATAGCAACCGAGAAGACTGAGAAGAAAGAAGCGAAAAAAGAACGAAAAAACTAAAAAGAAAGGAGGCCGCCTAGTTCCACATTTGCCCCTCACTTGGTACTGCTAGTTAAAAGCGGCTTAATTTTAACGCGATAGCGTTAGAGAACTCGTGCCGCAGAAGACCCGCCGCCGGCGTCGGCCCCGTTGATTTGGACCGAAAAAGCGTCTGTGCGTCTGTAACTGAAAAATCAAGTTACCGAGATTGCCACGGGAGGCCGCTACTTGTCCATGCGTGCGTGTGCAATAACACTGACAAAGCCGCGCCTTCGAAGAAAAAAAAAGTGCTCAAGGTCACGAGGCGCGCTAGTTTCTTTGCTCTGCCACCCCTCCCTGCTTAGCTTCCAGCGCTTTCATCTGAACGAGAGAAGAGATAATTAAATTGCGGCATGCAACAAACCTTTGTAACTTCACTCGCACGGGACGGATTCTTGAAATTTTTGCGGCGTTGAATTCGTGAGGCAATAAGCTCTTCTATCGAATTCATTCCATGGTTACTTGAAAAAGTGCTTAAGGCCTCCTTAACGCATTTTGTTCGACAGGTGTCATGACGAAAACGAGCCCATTCGGCGATAATCGCGCGCTGGTCCAATCTACTGCGTGCGTGTTTGTGTGCGTACGTGTGTATATAACAAAACATATCAATAAGTATGCACTTAGCGGTTGAAGTGTGCACTAGTGGCTGAATTTCGCTATTGCATTCAACTCTTAAAAGCGAAGCTTAAGGGTCCCTCAATTTTTTTTCTTTTGCACCCATTATTATATGTCGTCCTTTGTCGGCCTTACAATCTTTCTTCCCCCGAGCGTGTGCAAACCAGTTACCATCACTGGGTCGACCTCTCTACTTCACCTTTTCATCTCTCTCTCTCTCTCTCTCTCCTCTCTCCTCTCTCTCTCTCTCTCTATATATATATATATATATATATATATATATATATATATATATATATATATAAATATATATATATTTGTTCGATTTTCTCTATCAATATCGAGAAAGCTTAACATTTACCTCTGGTAAGCAGAAAAAGAAGCTTCTCCAGTGATAGGAAGATTTAGCATTGTAGCGAAGGGCACGGATCGTGTTGAACTAAGGTTTTCAAACTTCTTTGATGCTTCAGCGAATTGACTAGCGCCCGTATTCACATCAGACTCGTGCCGTTGCAGTATGAAAGAGGTGGAAAAAATAAAGTGAGCGTGTTTAAACGCGTTATGTGAATTTGCAGCAAATAATAGCATTTGCATCGTAAATAAAATTTTGAAAGTATTTCACTCTGAATCGTGCTATATTTGTTCATAAAATGAAATGGCTCACTCGCATTACATGCGATACTTACCGGCTCGTATTTCGCATTGCCAAAAAGATTGAAGAAATAAAATTCCTGCCTAAAGCGCCCCCGTTGAACACCTCGTCAAATACTGCCCTGCCGTCACGTGGGTAATCCTGCGTACCAAAATATTTCAACTTGGAGCCGTACAATGTCGCTTAAGGGAAGAAGAATGCCTAATTTACAATGTAAAAATGCTGAGTCATTGTGGTCTCCTGCTTGCACAGAAGTAACGAAATTAAACCGCATTTACACTTGTAGGCGAATTCAGCCGCAGTATCTAAACGCAGCGAATTAAGCCGCATTTACATAAAATCTAATGAATGCAATAAAAAATGAATACTGACAACGCCCGCCTATATAAGGGTTCCCTTAACATGGCCGAACAATGAGGGTGGCGGCAGTCAAATTTGTGTGTTGCAATATGTGACAACAATCGCCTCTACATATCACTTATTTTCAAGAACATTAAGGAAGGTCTGTCAGAGTTCGCAAGTGCTGCTCGGACGATTGAGTAGCAGGCAGAGCAGCAGTCGGAAAGCAGACAGTCTGTCTCTCAGTCCTCCAGCAAATGGTAACGCACAGGACCACCCAAAGCCGTACACTGCATTGTCCAATGAGTATTTAAACCATTATCATTTTAAGAGTACGCTTGTATAACTTGACTACTTCTGAAAAAGTCGAGACACTGCCACCCTGTCCTCTGTTCACAAAAACAAATCGTGTCATTGACTCTGACGAATGAAGTGTCATAGTGCACGGCACATTATTTGTTCTGTGTGCTTCTCTACATTAAAAAAAAAAAAATTGACCTTAAACCAAATTCCAGCGAACACC